AATTAGCTAAAAGATAAAATTAACAAAACAGAGTATTGGCGCACGCGAAATAGAGTTGGCGCCAGCACCAGCTCATTGGCGCTAGGCGCCAACACTAGCGCCAGGCGCCAGGGCCTAGTGCCAGGCACCAATGCGTGGCGTCAGGCGCTAGTCTTGTTTTTAACGCGTTTTCGAAAATCAGATAAATTTGCCGTACTGGAGGATAAAATCATATCTTTTCCTCGAAAATGCTTTTTGATTTTAATTAAAACTCTGAAAAGCCAACAAAAGTCAATTTATCAATGCTAATTGAATTAGGAATGAAAAGAACCTTCTAGAAGAATCTAGAAGACTAAAACCAATCCTATTGCATTAGGAATGATAAATCATATTAGGCCCTTTCCTAGAGCATTGGGCCGCATATAAGGCTCAAACCGGGCGTAGTTTGGTAATTTGGCCATAACTTCCTCAATATTCATCGGAATTAGGCTTATAATATATCGTTGGAAAGCTCTTTCAAGCCCCATCAAACTACACTACTATTGGACCCATATCTTGGACCAACCAAACTGGATTGTCTGTTTTCTTAAAATAAGTTTTCAAAAACATAGAGGAGAGGAAAGAAATTAAAACTATCCGCAACACTAAACTTTCCACACTTTCGCTTCATTCGATTATGATTCGACGTGAAAGGTACTCTTCACTGGGTTTGGTTTTGGGGAGACATAAATGGGTGTCTACAATATTATTCTAAAATATTAGTGATCACTTGAATTAACAACAAGATTAAAAAGGAATTTAAGCCGGTTGTCCAAATTATCTTATTCGGCGTGATTTTCAATTACATATTCCCTTTAAACATGCAATAGTGATCAACTAAAAATATAATAGAATCAATATTAATATTGAAAGCAATTTAACAATAAATTATTAGTCAACTCAAATATAAATAATAACCCTAATCATGATACTAGCAACAAGAATAAAAATAAGAGTAATTTAGTGATTAATTACTCACTTTCCGCGTTTCCTTTAATTGCTACATCATGAATAAACTGTTAGTAACTTCAATAAAAATATAAATCGAATGGAAATTAAATTAAATAAAGGTAGAGTTGATTTGGTCCAAACCCTCAGTTAATTCTACCTTTCACGCTTTGGTTAAACTATAGAACTTTGGGTATTGTATGAACTCCTTCGAGTGCTTAGGGGAAGTATTTTGAGAGAATAAGAAGGCTAGAAATTAGAATAAAGAGGGAGAAGAGAATGATTTGATGACCAAGCTTGTTGAAGATAGAAAAAGGGGTGATATGACCTCTATTTATAGAGAAAAAAGAAGGGCGAAAAAACAAGATACGATCCGAATTAAATCAAAATAAAACTCGATAGACTTCTGTAGGGAATATTTCAAGCATCATCCCAAACTTGAACCCCACTGTGATCATACACTAAAGTACGGTGGCGTCAAAAGGGAAAGAAGATAGCAAAAGAGTCGCCAACAAGTTTTAGGAACTTGTAAACTGTCACATACAAGGCGAAGGTTACACCCTTTAACGATCCAAGAGATCGCCAAATCCAATAGGTCTGGAACCATGACTGGTAGTTCGGGGATGAAGGTACAAATCCAACCTAAAAGAGATTGAACCTGCCGTAATAATAGGTCTCTTTTTTATTCTGATCGTATTCATGTGCGCTTTCTGACTAACATGCAATCAATAGGTTAACCCTAAACCTGTTTAATCTATGTTGGTTGAATATTAATGCACAAATAAACCTATTATTGGCGATCACTTGAAAATTATAATCATATTAACCCTAAACAAGATTATTAATTATCTTATTAAGCGTGATTACAAGTACCAATTCCCTTTAAATATGCATAAAAGTTGTGATCAAGCAATAACAATAATATATATCAAGCAACATAATAATAATCATCAAAATAATAATTATAATAATAATAATAATAATTAAAATAATCATGATCATAAATTATAACAATTATAATCATAATTAAAATAATAAAATTAATCATAATTAACATAATCATGTTAAAGTATAATAATAGCAAGATTCTAGGCATAATACTAACAAGATTAATAACAAACCCTAGCATGTCACTACACAATAAAGATCAAATATATAGCCCTAACATGATACTAACATGAATATTAGGAAAGAAAATAGGAAGCATCGCAGGAATCACAATTGTCATATTTGATATCAAAAATTATAGTTGTTACCCTAAACATGATACTAGAAAGATCAAAACGTCCTAACATGACACTAGGAATCATAATAACAACCTAGACATGAAATCTAAATCATAATATCAATGAATCAGATTAAAATATATTGTAGATAAAAGGATATGGCCAAAATAGTAGGACAGTGTCAGTTTTGGATAGAGTTTCATATCTCATTCATATCTTTTTCGTTATAGCTCGGATTTAATATTATAATATATCATTGGAAAGATAATTTCAAGATCTATCCAACCATAAAATATTTGGATAAAGATTATGAGGCACGAAAATAATATCTAACTGTCTTTGAACATCTTTAAATTCGAATAGAATTAGGATTTAAGAAAAGGAAAGTTTTAAAAAAGGAAAAGTTTTATTTAACTCAAATTCTTTAATCTTATATTTGCAAAAAGGATAATTAAGATCTTTTAGAAAATTATACAAGCTTCTAATTAATCCTAATTAGTTTAGGAATAGGATTAAACCTTTGGACCCTCCACATGATCATTGGGTCGTAGGTAAAATCCGGTTTGGGCCCAGTTTATTATTTTAGCCATAACTTCCTCATTATTCATCGGAATTGGGCTTATAATATATCGTTGGAAAGGTCTTTTCAAGCCCCATCCAACAACACCATTATTAGACCCATATCATAGACCAAACTAAACTGGAATTCACGTTTATCAAAATTAGGGTAAGAAAAGAAATATTTTAAAAAACAGAAAGAAAATATATTTTAATATAAACATCCTCATCACTAGACTTTTCACACTTTCGCTTTGTTCGATAATAAAATGACATGAAAGGTATTCATCACAAGGTTTGGTTTTGGGGAGACACGTACGGGGTGTCTACAGAAGCCCCCACTTTGACTGAGTTTGGAGAAACGCAAGTTTCGAAAAGAAAAGTCAAAGTATTGATAGGGACGGAGAATGATTCAGACGAACGTTCTACGATCTTAAATCATTCTTGTAACGCCGATACCTGCAAAACTAGCGTTAGTTAAACAGATAAAAGAGTTAAGAAACGTGTATCTTGCACCGTCGAGCACAAGTCTCTAGCGGTAACCGGTTTGTTGTAACGATCTTGCGCAAGCTAAATAATACCGCCTAAAGACTGCTACGCCTATAACTGCCTCCAATTTCCGCTGTGATAGTCTTCGAAAAGATCATGGCTTTTTGATCCTTAATGCTCCTATTCCAGTATGTCGGCGCTTTGCTGCTTGTGAACCAGTATGTCGGTGCTTTTGCTGTGATGACAATCCTCTTTTCGTTGGGCATAGTTGCCAACACAACTCTTGTATGATGTGTGACAATCCGATTTAGGGAAAGTTGTCAATGGTTTGTAACAATCCATCCTTGGAAATGTTTCCACGATGAAGCGACAATCCGTATCTCGAAAAATTTGCCAAAATCCAATTTTTGGGAAACGTTGTTGTAGGGGATAGCTCCTGCTGAGCTATTCCTTCTAGCTGGGCTCAGTGGAGAAGAACGTTCTTACAGGAAAAGAGTCGGCATGAGTGACCTCATACCACCTCTTGAGGGGCTAGTTGTATAGGATAGCTCCCGCTGAACTATCGCCCAGCCCCCAGGGTGCGCACTTACCACCGAATAAGCAACTAAAGGAGGGCTCATCAGCCCGGCAGAGTCAGCCCGCAGGACTGACCAGGCTAAACTCTCCACGAAGGAGATAGTACGCCTATAAATAGAGGGTAAAGTACAACGGAAAAGAGGTTAGACACTCAAGTTATTACACTTTCTATATCTCTCTAAGTACACTTTCTCTCTCTAAACACTCTCTAACTTAAGCTTCGGAGGGGGGTTCCTTGAGCCACCCCCGAGGGTAGCTTACGTGTGCTGCCGTGTGTAGGTTATTGGCGGGACCCAGCTCACCCAGCAGAACCCTTGGATCCATACCTGGAACAATTAGCGCTAAAAGGAGGGGACAGGATCATCTAACCTGAGGTTCACCAACTAAGCTAGGGACTAGTTAACTAACCACCATGGCCGAAGAAGAAACTGTACAAACACCCTTATCCAAAGCCAATGAGACCAACCAAACACCACAAAAAACACCCTCAGTAACCCGCAATCCAAAAGGATCCACCGAAAATCCCAAATCGACCATCTCACAAAAATCCAACCCCATCGGATTGACATTAGCTGCAGCTAAAGCGGCATCAAAACCAGTCAATCCGATAGGATCCAGTTCCATTTTCAAATATGGAATGCCGTTAACAGGCGCGAATAATGAGCCCATTGTTTCAGCACCTGTAACCCAGAAACTGCGACCCGTAAACATGCCAGCCATCTTACAGAACCTCTCTAATGCAAAAAGGAACAGCTGGCAGCAATGACAGCGGTCCTTACCAATATGGGTAAGGGGGCAAGCCCATCACCGACAACGGCGGCTGCGGAGCCCGCAGCGAAAAAGCCGGAAGTGTCAACTCTCACCCCCGAGCAGAAAGAGCTCATTCAGCTGAGGAAAAAGGTATTGGAGCTGGAAGCTCGCAACCTGAATTGAGAATGGAGCGTGGAGGAAATAACCCCAGCTTGAATCAGCTCGGAGAAGCGGGTCCCTCGCAGTAGGTCACCGATCGCAAAGCGAGGACCCAGCCCAAAGAGAGACAAACGAGCGGGAATCCAGGTTGTTCCGGATGATTCCCCATTTTGCCAGGAGATTCTGGAAGAACCCATGGAGAAGGTGAAGATGCCGAGCTGCAAGTTCAATGGAACCACAACACCCAAAAGCCACATATCAGCTTTCGAGAATTAAATGGTACTCTACACCATGACAGACTTAGTCTGGTGTAAGGCTTTCCAACCAACTCTGGAGGGGCTGGCAGCGGAATGGTACGGCGCCATCCCCAAATGTTCTTTATACTCGTACAGCCAGCTGAAGAGAATGTTCATGGAGCATTTCATAACCTTGGTGGACAGGTACAAGATGACAACCGAGATGATGTCCCTAGTTCAAGGAAAGGATGAGCCCCTGAGGGAGTTCATCATCAGGTTCAACAAGGAGGCAACAACCATTCCAAATATGAGCCAGGTGGTAGCGCTGTTAGCAATGCAGAGTGGCCTACTGCCAAGGTCACCATTTAGAGCATATATGGGGCGTAAGAGCCTCAAAATGCTCGCTGAAGCGCTAGGTAAAGCGCATGAGTTCATCAAAGCAGACGAGACTGACAGAGCAATGCTGGGTAGAAAAGCAACAGGTGACTCAGTTTAGCGAGTAGAGGTCACCCGGGAAGAGAACACACCCAGGGTGGACCAGCCAAGTAGGGCTGAGCAAATCCGCAGAGAAGCGGACAGGGCAGTGGGACTGAGAAGGTCCGATCCAAGGAGAGGGCCAAGGCCTGGGAAGTTTGATCAATATACCCCACTAACCCATTCTAGATCGCACATATTCAGCGTAAATAAGGCTGATGATAAATGGAAGAGGCCTCCAAGGATGGTAAACAGGAGTCGTGATACCACTAAGTGGTGTGACTTTCACGGAGACTATGGCCACACCACTGAAGAATGCACACACTTGAAGGACAACATAAAGGACTTAGTCAGGAGAGGATACTTGAGTCAATTTAAGCAGCGTGGTGACCCTCCCAGAAGAAGGGGAGGAGGATAGAGCGGGTCGAGCTGACCGCAGAGGAGGTAATAGGGGCCCAGGTGGAGACAAAGATGGAGATGGCAAGCCAGAGGGCAGGGTGTATGTGATCAGCGGGGGTCTAGTACATGGGGGGGACAGTTAATAGAGTGCGAGCTGACCTGCGGGCAATGATACATCAAATAAATGACAATGATAAGCGTAGATGGCCACCTCTTCCCCCGCAGCCACGAGCCACGTTTGACGAGTTTGACCAGAAGGGCATAATTTACCCTCATGATGACCCGCTGGTGGTGACAATGAGAATTGCAAACTGGGAGGTGGATAGAATACTGATAGACGGAGGCATCTCAGCCAACATCATATACATCAGTGCGTTCAATGAGATGAAGTTGGACAAAAAAGACCTGAAGAGAGTAAACTACGAGGTCATCGGGTTTAATGGCTCGGGGCTTACCCCAGAAGGCATAATCGAACTCTTAGTCCGGGTAGGAGAGAGGTCAAGAAGGCGTGATGTCCGAGCAGAATTTCTCGTGATAAACTCCCCTTCACCCTACAATGTAATCATGGGAAGACCGCTCATCCACAAGATAGGCGGGGTGGTATCCACTTACCACCTGGCCATGGCTTACACAACTAATGAGGGTCGGTTAGCAAAGCTTAGGGGAAGCCAGAAGACAGCCCAACAATGTTACATAAATGCCTTAAAGCAGCCTGCCAAAACCAGACAGCAGTGCAGTTGTGAGAAGGCTCCCAGAGCAACCTAAGAGGAAGTCGAGGAAAAGGAAGCATGAAGAGTATCACAGGGAAAAAGATAAACAGAAGTTGGCAATGGAAAACTTTGAGCCTGCAAAAGAAGAAATGGCCAGACCACTTCCCAGCGGGGAGCATGTCACAGTCGAGCTCACAGAAGGTGATCCCTCGAGGACGGTGAAAATTGGGAAAGACATTGATCCAGGAATAGGGGTGCACCTCATAGAACTGCTGAGAAAGAATAAAGACATTTTTGCGTTTTCCGCGGATGAGATGCTCGGAATTGACCCAGCAGTCATGGTGCATAAGCTGAATGTGGAGGATATTAGGCCAGTCAGGCAGAAAAAGCGAAGCTTCTCCACGGAGAAAAACCAGGCAATCCAGGAAGAGGTGGAAAAGCTCTTGGAAGCAGGATTTATTGAACCCTGTGACTATCTAGAATGGTTAGCCAACGTGGTCATGGTGAAGAAGGCAAATGGCCAATGGAGAATGTGTGTTGATTTCACAGATCTTAATAAGGCCTGCTCGAAGGATTATTACCCACTGCCACGGATAGACCAACTGGTAGACTCAACCAGCAGGCACGCCCTGCTAAGCTTCATGGACGCCTTCTCAGGGTACCATCAAATCAGCCTGCACGAGCCAGACAGGCAGAAAAATGCATTCATTACCGAAGGGGGAGTGTATAATTACATAGCCATGCCCTTCGGGCTGAAGAACGCTGGAGCAACTTTTTAGAAGGCAATGGATAGAGTGTTCCTTCACCGGAAGGGAAGAAATGTGGAAGTATACGTTAACGAATCGAGTGGCAGAGCAAAGATACCCCCTGGTAGAGAAGCTAGCCTTCGCAGTGGTCACAGCAGCAAGAAAGCTAAAACCATTTTTTGACGCGCATATAATAGAGGTCCTCACAAACCACCCGCCGGAGAAAGCATTACAAAAGATGGATGCATCGGGTAGACTCTTAAAGTGGGCAATCGAGCTTTCAGAGTATGAATTCGAGGTCAAGCCTAGAGCGACCATCAAGGCACAAGCTTTAGCAGACTTCATAGTGGAAGCCTCCTATGAGGAGAAAGAGGATGACATTGGGGTCTGGAAGGTGGAAGTGGATGGATCCTCAGCCCAAACGGGGAGTGGGGCAGGAGTCATAATGACGTCTCCAGAAGGAAATGTATTTTAGTATGCCATCAAGTTCAAGTTCAAAGCGTCTAATAATGAAGCAGAGTACGAGTCGACGCTGGCAGGCCTGCATATGAGCCTCGCAGCCGGAGCCCGCCGAGTACACCTGCAGACTGATTCTCAGCTCGTTGCCAGCCAACTGCAGGGGGCGTATGAGATAAGGGAAGCCACTATGATGAAATATGTAACCAAAGTGAAAGAGCTGGCAGCCCAGCTAGTCCATTTCCAAATAGACTTGGTCCCTAGAGGAGGAAACTCTCAAGCTGACGCCTTATCTAAGTTAGCCAGCTCCACCTTACAAAGCCTCACAAAAACAGTGATGGTCAAAGTGTTAGAGGAAAGCAGCATCGCTGAAAAGGAGAGGTAAACTGCGTCAGGAGTCAAAGAGCCTGGTTCTCAGACATCTTGGCGTACAAACTTCATGGCTCGCTGCCCGATGATGAAGTACAGGCGGAAAAGGTGAAGAAAGATGCAAATTGGTATGTAGTGATGAATGGAGAGCTCAACAAGAAAGACTTCTCAAAGCCGCTACTGAGGTGTATTCTAGAATGGGAGCAGGAGGGCATTATGGAAGAAGTCCACTTCGAAATATGTGCCAACCATATCGGCGGGAAAGCATTGGGAGTAGAAGTCCTTAGAAGAGAGGCATATTGGCCAACTCTCACGCAAGACGCACTAGAATATGTCAAAAAATGCGACAAGTGTCAAAAATATTCACCAGTCACAAATTAGCTAGCAAACGATCTGATTGTGGCAGTAGATTACTTTACAAAGTAGATAGAAGCTGAGCACACCAAGTACATAAAGGCAACCCAGGTCAGAACATTTATATGGAAGAGCATCATCACTAGATTCGGGGTGCCACAATGCATAGTCTTTGATCATGGGTGCCAATTTGACTGTGAGATATGGGCACCAAGTATGCAAGTGCCTCAGTCTGCCACCCGCAGAGCAATGGCCAAGCAGAAGCAGCAAACAAGCTGATCCTGACAGCCCTACAGAAGAAGCTGGAGGAGTACAAGGGCCTGTGGCAGACTTAGTCCTCGAGGTCTTGTGGGCAAATAGGACCACTGAGAAGGAGTCAACCGGTAAAAGCCCTTTCACCCTGGCCTACGGGGTTGATGTAGTTGTCCCTATGGAAGTGCAAATCCCCAGCCTGAGGATACAACACTATGAGAAGCAAGGAAATGAAAAGCGCATGCTGGAAGAGCTAGACTTCCTGACAGAAGTAAGGCTAAAAGCAACCCTTAAGCTGGCAGCCCAAAAGAGCAGGATCTCAAAAGCTTTAAACAAAAGGGTCAAGCACAGGGAGCTCCTACCAGGAGACTTAGTCCTCAGGAGGAAAGCAGCAATTGGAAGAGGAAATCAGCATGGAAAGCTGTCAGCAAACTAGGAAGGCCCTTTCATCATCCACGAGCAGGTTGGACCAGGCGAGTTCCTCCTTGCAGATCAAGAAGGTCAGGTCTTAAGAAACAGTTTCAATGCTGATGTGTTAAAGAAATATTTTGTTTATATAGCCTAAAACATAGCTATTTCAAGTCGATAAACCTTTATTCAGTCCATGTTATGTTAACTAAGGCATTTGAGCCATTTTTATTCAATGAAATACAAGCCTCTGCGTGAGGAGTATGTTGCATAAATTTGTTTAATATGTGCCCAAGCATTATATACTAACATGCAGAAATCAAACAAGAATAATAATAAAGTGTTAGAGGCAAGAAGCACTCTAGCGCAAAATGACTAAGTGAAAGCATCCCTCCTTAAAACCTCACTTCACCTGCAAAAAGCAAAACAGGGCACCACCTCGGGGACGCCTGAGGGGGAGCCTGACACGTTCAGCTTGAGCAGCGGAGAAGAGAGGAAAAGAAGAAGATGAGCTATATGGGCAACACTAAGGTTCTCTTAGTCCCATTCATCCGATCTCTTCGAGGGGGAGAGGAAAGGAGAAGACAGTCAAGTCGCGGCATAGATAAGCTGAACGACACAAATAAGTCATAGCGAAGCAAGCTGATACACAGACGAAATAAGCAAAAAGCTAATCGACATAAACAAATCTCAGCAAGGATAAGTTAAATAACGCTCAATCAAATATGTCAATCAGCACGCAGAAGAAGCCTTTGGTCATAGCCAAGTGAAGTACACAAACGCGCAAACACTTGAAGCAGATAAAGCAGGAAGGACAAAGTGTAAAAAGTCCCTGCTGAAGCACAGCAGAGCGCAAAATAAACAGAAAAACGCTAAGCAGCTAAATTAAAAAGACAGGAAGGCCCAACCTACGAGGCCCCACCAAACGTAATAAAGAGCAAGCACGCAAACAATGAAGTAAATAGCAAGAAAAGCAGCAAGGAGAGATCATAAGGAACATACGTTATAAGGCTGAACCCCTGCCCACCAAGGCAGAGTAAACATTCAGCAAGTCAGTCACAGAACAAATAAAGCTGAGCCCTCATCCACCAGGACGAGGAAACACTCAGCGGATAAAGTTAGAAGATCACAAATTCAAGTTAAGCTGGACAGACCCAGCAACGAAAGAAAAAGTATTCTGGGTGAGGGAAACTCAGAGGAACCACTGGAGTAGGAGGGTGACAGCCGCCATAACCTTTATTGATCATCACTCAGAGACTCCACTCCAATAGCTGCACCAACGTTAGGCAGAGATGCACCTCCAAGTTCAGCACGATCTGGTTGGGGATCTTGCAGCCAGCAGCGCGAGGGTGATCAGCGGGAAGATCGAATAAACCAGCCTCACCTGCAGCTTCAACCTTAGCCCAAAAGGCATTAAAGCGAGCCTGCTGGTCTTCACCCTCACCATACAAGCTGCTAACGCATTGAGCCGCAGCTTCCCATCCTCCATCATGGCGATTAGCCAGGAGCTTAGCAAAAGCAGGAGAGAGCGCAAAAGACTTGAGAGCCTCTCTCCTAGCAGCCTCCAGCGCAACAGCATGCGCAACCTGTAAATCTGCCACATCCGCCTCTAACGTCTTCATCCTGGCCTGAGAAGTCCCCAATTGCTCCTCGGAGTCCTTCAGCTTGGTCTGAGTGAGCTAAAATTCTCCCAATTGGAGCTACAAGGCATCCGCCTTCTCCCTCAGCAAAGTCACCTCATTGGCCATAGCATCCCTCTCAGCTGGAGCCTAATGAACCTCCAGATTCTTCTGGGAAAGAGTTATACCCTATTTCTGATATTCCTTCTCCACTGACAGCAAGGCATAAGACAAATCCCCCACAGACATAACAAGCTGCAAGAAAAGCAGAAAAGAAAATTCAGCCAAAGTGGGAGTTAACAAAAGAAGTTAACAATAAAAAATAAAGTATTATAATCAGTAAAACAAGACAACAGCAACAAAACAAGTAGAGAAAAGCTGAAATGAGAAAAAGAAAAGCCAAAAGCAGAGACTAACCTTCTGCAAATCATGGCAAGAAGTAGCTGCTGGAAAGCTGACTGAGCTGCGCGTAGAATCCGCAGGGAGACGAACCCCCTGAATCAGGCGGTATCCTACAGTACTACCCTTCTGAGGGTTGCCTACAAATAAAGACTCATCAGCCCTCACATTCATCAAAGGTCGAAAAGGAGCGTTATCTGCTCCAGAAGGACAAAGTATTGGGCGAAGATGAAGGTCAATAGGGACCTCAGCAAACTCAATGGCCCCAGTAGGGCGAAAAGTCCCTCCAACAGAGAGTGAGAATGCAGAAAGAGGATTCTCAAAGGCATCACCCAAGAACTGGTGAACACAGCGGTTAAGCTCACTGGAGTTCTCAGTGTCTCCCCCACCAACGTTCCCACATGGAAATCCAATGTTGGCAGACGTGGAAGCAAGAGGGTCTGGGCCAGGAG